GCCGTGCGCCCCGGCGTCTTTGTGCGCGAGCCTCGCTCTGCCCCTCTTCGCATGTCTTTGTGTGTCTCCCCCGGCAAAGCCCTCCGGCCCCGGGGGGCGGGGGGTGTGGCACGGGCTCGGCGCGCCGGGCGCCCTGCTGCCCACAGCTCGGCCGCTCTCCCTGCCAGGCTCGCTGCTCTCGTCGCTAGCCTGCTCCTTTCCCTCCTTTCGGAACTCCCTCCCCCTCGCCTCCTCCGCCCCCCCACCCTCCGTCTCCCCGCCTGGGCTCGCCTCTCCGCACCCCCTCCTAGCCCAACCCGCGCCGGCGTCGCCCCTGCCTCCTCGCCTGGGGGCACTGCCCTGGGGCTCACCTGCTGCCTCTTCTCCCTCAGCCCCTTCCACTAGCACTGTCCCCTCCCCACATGCCCATTCTCACTATCTGGTGCACAGACAGAGCTCCAACCTATCTCCTTCCAGGGCGGGGTGCGGGACTATGCTCTGGGGCGCGGGTCCCAGGACCCCTGCACGTGGGCATCTTCCGCTCCCCTTGCCCACCCTCCACCCACCCAGGGTTGTACAGAGAACTAATCCCATTGGCGCCCTGAGACCCCCGGAGTGGGGTCGGTAATGGGGCTGCTGGCTTCTTCCAGTCTACGCCTGGGGAAGTGTTGTCGAGTCACCAGCAACCCCCACCACATCCCACCTCCTGGGGTGCTTGACCTGGGCAACAAGCTCTGATCAACAGAAGGTTCCAAACCAGAAAGGATGGGGAACGCACCGGGAGCTAAGGTACAGAAGACATCTAGGGTTGCAGAGGGAATGGAAGAAAAATCGGAAGGCTCTCAGGGCAAGACCCCTTTGCTGGGTCAGGGGTTGCGGATGTTCTCGGCCGAGCAGCGGAGTGGGAGACCTGGGACATCAGTTCGAACCCGGCGCTCCGGCACACCTCCGTGTCAAGATCCCAGCTTGGCGGATGCCAGACCCCGCCCAGACTCGTAGACTGCCGCGCGGGGGCAGCTGGACGCGTGGCTGCAGGGGTGCGGGCACCGAACCCGCAGAGGAGCGGAAGAGAGCGCGCCGAGTCCAGGCTGCAGCTGAAATAGGTTAGTCCCCTCGCCACACACGTGATGTAGCGGAACTTCAGCCCCAGTGTTAACTCTCCCTTCCTTCTCACTTTCGCTGCGGGAACACCCCGCTGACCTCCACCCTCCCATCTCCACCGCTGTGTTAGAGAGTTTATCTTCCAGAAAGGCTGCTGGGCCAACTTGAAGTATTTTGCCAGCTACAAGGAGAACTTCCTGATGAAAACTGTAGATGTGAGAAACTACTGAAAGCTATAGATCTTAAGGAGGTCAGGCAGAGCAGAAACACTCTTGATGGCAAAAAGAACGTTAAAAGCCTTTTGCAGAATTGTGGCCATCAATGCTTAAAAATGCCAAATTATTTTTTAAATTCCAAAAAAGACTCAGCACCTCTTTCTCCTATTAAAAATGTCTTCCTTATTAGGAATTCCTTCCTGCTGGAACAGAAACATGTTTTTCTCCACTTCTCTCAATATAATCGGATGTCCTTTCTGAAATGTGAATCTGATCCTCTCACTTAAAACCTTTTCAAACTCTCTAGGTGACATATAATTTGCTTCCTGATCTGGCTTCTCTTTTTCATTCCAGGCCTTTCTGGGTACATTCATCTTCCCTCACACACCTTCCCCCAGCTTTACATGTCTAAGACATTGTATTAGTAGGGTTCTCTAGAGAAACAGAACCAATAGGGCATGTATGTACGTGTGTGCAAAAGATTTATTTTAAGGAATTGGCTCATGCTGTCATGGGGGCTGGCAAGTCCATCTGAAATTCCTAGGGCAGTTCCCCGCAGGCTGGAAACTCAGGCAAGAGTTGATGCTTCTGTCTTGAATTTCTTCTTTTCTGGAAACCTCAGTTTTTGCTCATAAGGCCTTCCTGATTATATGAGGCCTACCCACATCATCAAAGGTAATCTTCCCTTCAAGTCAACTGATTATAGATTGCAACCACATGTACAAAATACCTTCATAGCAACACCTAGATAAGTGTTTAACCAAATAACTAGGTACTGTAGCCAAGCCACCTAAAACTAATCATCACAGATATTGTCCTTCAGATCTTCCAGCAATCTGGAAGTTTCTCCTGAATCCTAGCTAGTCAGGTGTCTTGCTGTTTTCCTCCCAGGCAACTCGGGCTTTTATTTTTGCACCTGTCACATTGTGTTGTGCTTCTTCTGACTACACTGTAAGCTCATGAGGGCATAAGCCATATCTCTCTGTTCACCACAGTATCCACAATTACCCGTGCCTGGTACTAAACAGGTGTTAAACATCTGAATGAAAGTGTGGATGTGGACATCATTCACCTGGCCTCTCTTCAGGTATTTGTAACCAGGGTATCCAGCGTATGTGGGACATGAGATGAACTCACTACCTTCAGAATCATTTCTACCCTATCACGGGTGCTTTGTTCTCCACATTAAGTGTCCAAAACACTGAGTTTCGCTTGTTTAACTTCTCTCCTTCCGTTTAACAACTTGGTGATTCTTTCTTGTTCTTTCTCAGTCTTTTGCAAATTTAACCACACCTTGCCAGGCACTGGTCCTCTGTCAAACTGGCTCATGCTTACTACAGTAGGGGATTAACTCAGAGTTAATCCCTGCAGTGTTCCCCTATCCCAGACTCATGGGATGGAGGACTCACCGCCAATCCCAAATGCTGAATTGTCTTTTTCCCTCCTTTTCTCCATCGGTGTGTCTGTACTAGCTGTCTTGCATCATCCCCCTTGCGTTATTCTCTCATTAGGCACATATATTTGTGGGGGAGGGGAGCACAGATTTACTTTATAGAGACGTTAAAATAAGATCAAAAGAAAACTTCCAAACTGTAACATCGGTAGGAATTTCTCCAACAAGCCAGCCTCAGCCTCACAAATAACTTGAAAGAACCAAGAAACCAGTCTCCACACTGACTTGAGCCCTGCTTTCCACTGCGGCCCCTAAAGCCCCCTCAGTTAAATACTCCTACCACTTTAAGAGCCTTCTTGTGCCAAACACATACTTACTTGCTGTGTTTGAAGTAAGAGGGAAAAAAGGAAGTAGGCTAGTTTGTGTATCATTGAAGCTGGAGAAATAAGGAAAGGGGATGGTTTATCCTGTTTAATTTTATGCCTGCATTTCTTAACACATATAAATGCTATCAAAAGTGTAATAGAAAGACTAGGTGGACTTGATTTCTTCCATGATGCAGGACTATTCAACACCCCTTAATTTTACTTCAGTGGACAGGAAGACTTGAAATATGTAATAAAAAGATTGAGTTCCCCCAAATTTTATACTCTCTTCATTCCGGTGCTTTCAAAGTTGTTGTTTGGCTCCAACTAGAAGCGTGAAATCTACAGGACTTCACTTTTATGTTTATTTTGCTTTTTGACCTTGGCCTACTCATAGTTACAAAAAAAAAAATGCAACTGTCCTTCCCATAATTCCAAACACTTGTAATTTTGGAGTCCAAGTGACCTCCGTGGGTGTCCTAACTCTACCATTTGTGAACCATGTGAGTTTGAGGGAGTCCCTTTATCTCTCTGACCATCAGTTTCCTCATCTACAAAATAGGGAGAATACACTGAACTTAGAAGAGATTGTCCTAAGAATTAAAGTAAGACCACATAAATGGCTTTATCATTGTTAAGTCTTCAAGAGAATTTTATTCTCTCCTGTGACTGACTTAACCCCATGAACCAGGCCAAGCCAGACCACCAACACATTTCAACTCTATGGTAACTCCTGCCATTTATTTAATCTTCTGGATAACATTATTGCACAGATCTGAGAAAAGGAAGAATGAATCAAATCCATCAAATATTTATTGAATGCCTACTAGCTGCCAAACAGGAGCCCTGTGGATACAGCAAGGTTGCTGCCCTCATTAAGCTTCTGCTCTAGAGAGGGAAGATGCTAAACAAGCATAAAATTAAAATTCTGGTAAATGCAATAAAGAGAAGGTACGGGGTACTATGAGAGTATCTAATTTTGGAGGGTCAGGGAAGGCCTGTCTAAAAAAGTGACATTATAGTTGGTCCCTGAAGATGGGGAAGGGGGAGAGCAGGGGTGGAGAGGGAGAGCCACAGTGTAAAGGAAGAGCTTCCTCAGGA